GCCTCGGACAGCAGCGATCTTCATCCCCCTGCGCCCGGGGGCGTCTTTTGCTGTGTTTTATGGCCAGGAAATGTGGCAGTTAATGACACGAGGCCGTTCACGTCGGGGTAGGGAGGGCTGAGGTCCCGACTGGCTGTGAACCGGTTGGAGTTCAGCTGCCCAACGGTGCCACTCGAATGCAGATCGTTATTTTAAGTACCGAGGTGTGGAAGGGAATCGTGTATGTTGAAATAAACGTGGCTGCTGTTCCATTTATATATTTAATGAAGGTAATTCAACACAGCCGGGAGGATGTCTGCGCGGCGTTACGGTTGGAGCCTTTAGCACCGCGCCGGCAGGGACGGTAAATCTGTATTTCTGCCATCACGGCCGCGGGCAGGGACGGTGTAAAATCCAGCCGCAGAAGCCATGGCTTAAAATATTCCTGGCATCAAATAGAAGTTGCAAGAGGGGGGAAAACAAACAAAACTCTTGCTTTAATTCTGGTCTTCAGAACGAACCCCTGTCTGGCTTTTGGGGAGGAAATCTCGGTGTCGTGCCGGCTGTGGGGGAGGTTTGGTGGGGAGCTGCGGCCGGTGGAAATGCCGGCTGGTGGGACACGGTGGGGTCGTTCAAAACCCTGATCCCACGGGATGCAGAGCGATGAGATGCTCCCGTGGGCAGGAGCCTGTCCCAGGAAAGGTTCAGTGCAGGGCTGTGGGTGTGCAGGCGCCCGTCGCTGTCTGAAGCAATGGGCTGAAATGGGCTCTTTGCAGAAAGGGAAAGAAAAATGCTGCTAATGCTTGATGCAAAGCAGTTTAATTCCAGTTAAGAAATAGCCCTTCGGTGGCAGCCTGGTTTTACGTGCCTGCAGAAGTGGTAGGAAATAGCTGTTTAAATGTGTTGCGCTCAGTTTTGTCTGAACCCTTGAATTAACCTCCCTCTAAAATCATTGTCAGGAAAAGCTCCGCTGCCATCTGAGCCGTCCTGTGCCGCGCCGGAGCTCATCGCGGGGACCGGAGGCTAGCTAAATGTGCGAAATTAGGGTTTGATGATGACAACGCTGCAAAACTTGCTCCTCCTGGTGTTTTTGACCTCGAGGTGTTGACAACGCTTGATCGGAATTGCAGAGAGGCCATGGCGAGTCGCCCGGGGGTGGTGTGTTTTTTGGAGGGTGGTGTCGGGTTTATTCTATTCTGGGACTGGGAAGGGGAGAAAATAGCGATACGCTCCTTGAATCACCGCCGGCAGAACGGCAACGAGCGTGTCCTCGGCGGCTTTGCCCACAAGGCGGCAGTGGGTGACAGCGGGAGCAGCGCGTCCCCGCGCCAGCCGTCCCCGCCGCGGCGCAGCATTAATATTGATGCTGTCCAGGTGGCACCAAGATTGAGTTGTAGTGACAAGAGAATGTGCCGAGATCCTTTTGCCCCAGGGCTCCAGAGTAATGGCCATCTGTCTCAGCTCAGCGATTGTTTCCACCGTGCAGATGGAAGACCAAAGTGGCTTTGGCAGATGAGATTCATCTGGTTTATGTCCCTCTTCACCTTTCTGCCTCCCGACGCCGCCTGGTTTTATGAGCAAACTTCAGCCACAACATAGATGCAGCTGCAAGATTGCGCGAAGGACACGGTTTTCGAGCAGGACCAATTTTCTCTGCTCCTGAGCTGCTTTTGTTACCGACATTTTCAGCAGAAAATGCAGTTTGCCTCTATCAAAACGTGTGCTGGCTTCGGGGATAATTTTTTTTTTTTCCCCTGTTACCTGTGAGGGGCCGGTAGTTCTGGACAAGCACAATTTGTACAGAGATTGTTTCACATGTGATTTTTTGGGGCTGTGTTGTGCCCTTGTCTGTGAAACCCTGTTGCTGACGCTGGAGTTGGTGCAGAGCGTCCAGGGACCGTAGGTAGAGGCGTTAAAGCCCCCAAGGGACAGTTAAGTGGGATTTTTATTTCTTGCTGGAAACAGGCTGCTCCCAGCAGTGCCTGGCTCAAAAGGAACCTCAGTGAAGCCTTCGGGTCCTCTGTTGAGTGTCGGTGGGTTGCCAGAGGAAGAAACAAGGGGGCTTGATGTAGAGGGGTGGAAAAAAATCACATCTGGGTTTCCCAGCGAGGGAGGAGTTGGTGATGGGCGGATGAGATCAGATGGAGGGATATTAAATATGCTTCGTTAGGATGTTTCTTTCTCTGTACCCGATGCCTTCCCCACACTCACAAAGCCATTGTGAGCTGAAAAAAGAAGGGATTTGGCTGAAGGGAGATGAAGTTCTGAGTTGTAACCCTGCTTCGTGTTTGCTCTCCTGCAGGTGAAGTGGAAAGGGAAGGACCTGTTTGATCTGGTCTGCAGGACACTAGGACTGCGAGAAACCTGGTTCTTCGGGCTTCAGTACACCATCAAGGACACGGTGGCCTGGCTCAAAATGGACAAGAAGGTTGGAACCCGATTTCCCTTGAGAGGTCATGTGGGATCACAGGGGAGAACCTACTTTTTTGGTTGTATTATGTGTGGTATTGAAGCAAACTGGGTGAAGTGTGTTTAAATCTCATCCCCACGGCATCTGGAAGTCAAACCGGGAAGAGTTGGCAGAGATCATAGAATCCCAGAAGGGTTTGGGTGGGAAGGGACCTTAAAGCCCATCCAGTTCCACCCCCTGCCATGGGCAGGGACACCTCCCACCAGCCCAGGTTGCCCAAAGCCTCATCCAGCCTGGCCTTGAACCCCTCCAGGGATGGGGCATCCACAGCTTCTCTGGGCAACCTGGGCCACTGCCTCACCCCCCGCACAGGAAAACATTTCTTCCCAATATGTACTATATATATATTTTGGGAGCCAGCTGTGCTGGGATGCTGGGCTTCAGGGTGACTGTCATGTAAATGAAACCTAAAAGTCTCTCTTCTGTGTCCCTGAACAACAAAACCTTTAGTGGAAAAGTGAAGTTGCATCTTGGCTTCTTTTGCTGCTGAGATGTACGAAGAGCTGGGGAGGAGGAGAAATGGGGATGGAGAGAAGGGAGGGAACGCTTCCCAAACATGCGAGCCTCCAGGTTGCCGAGGGCTGGGTTGGAGAAGTGACAAACGTGGTTCTGTTCCCATCCAAAGGGTGTTACGCTAAAACAGACGGTGATGGAGGCTGTGAGGGAGGGCTGGGTGTCTCGCGTGTCACGCCAAGGTTCTAAACTAACACAAATGTGAACTGGACGGTGGCAGTACAATCCAAAGGGAGCTAGGAGCAACACTGAAATCCAAGAGGAGGCACTGCAGGGAAACGACGAGAAGGTCGGGTAGTGTGTAGCGGGATACAGCATCACTCGGCGAGGTTCAGGAGAGACGGCGAGTGCTCAGCAGATCAGGAGCAACCTAGGCTGTCTCATTTCGCATGCTGTTTGTTTCTGCCTTCTTTGTTTTCTTGCATCCTTAGCAGTGTCAGAAATGTTTGTTTGTTTGCTGTTTTTAACTGTGCTTTCTGAACTACTTAGCTTGGTTCGGCTGTTCTAGATGTCTGAAATGCCTGACAAAAGATGTGCTGATCTGAAGAGCTGCGTCTTGGCTCGCTGAAGGAGCTGGAAGGAGTCACTGAATCCCTCTTGTATCCCACAGGTTCTGGATCACGATGTTCCAACGGAGGAACCCGTCACCTTTCACTTCCTGGCCAAATTTTATCCAGAGAACGCGGAGGAGGAGCTGGTCCAGGAAATCACGCAGCACTTGTTCTTCCTGCAGGTAGGAGCCGGGTCAGTACGCTGCTTTCCAAGCCCAGGGAGAAGGAGCCAGGATGAGCACAAGTGCCAGAAGGTTCCAGGGTCAGAAAGTTGCTCGGTGTGGATCCTCCTCGTTATGTTCACATCTCTCCGAAGAGAGTTGTGCTCAACAACAAAAACGTCTTAAAATAGGTCCGAGCTGGTGTGTCTGGATGGAGCAGCCATAGACGGCCAGACTCCAGACCTCGCGAAGCGGCTGTCAGGAGTGATTAGGTGATTTGGGATATTAGTGTGTGGCTGCTCGGGGAGGTGAACCTGTCAGGCGTGGGCTGGAGTGACACACAGCCTTGGCGGCCGCCTCTCCGCAGGTGTGGGTATCAGTTGTGCTGAGGGATGGCGGTTGCCGTCGTACGCGATGGCATCGCTAGGGGAAGCAGGGGAATTTCCTCCTTGAGAACAGGACGCGGCCAACCTGTCTGGTGTGCTGGCGGTACGGCAGGCTCTCCTCTTCGCAAAACAGCCTTCGGGTAACTGGAGCAGAAGAAAATCCCCAAAGCACAGCTCTGTCGGAGACTGACGGCAGAGGAGAAGGGGAATCCTGGCAGTCCCCCTGCCCCAGTGACTCCTGCCCTTATGTTCAGCGTTTGGAAACTGGTGGAGGCATCTGCAGGCTTTTTTATTGAAAGTGTGCTACCTTGTGTCCTGAGGAATCAGCTGAGGTTGTAGCGGTGCAGCGTGACTGCTAAGGAAGAGCTGCTATCGCAGGAGCTCTCTGCCAGACAATCGACTTTCTGACACTATTTCCCTGAAAGGGTTGTGGCAGGGAGCCCTGGTCAGACCCCCGGGGACTTACTGGGGTGTTTCAGCTGCTCCGTGGCTGTTAACTTGAAGTTTCTAAAATAAATAAATCACAAAAATAAGAAAAAGTCACTCATTTTTATGTTTGTTACACCAAAGTAGAGACAATCTAGATTTGGAAGTAGCACTGGAGACTGCACTGTGCCCTCCCCCTGCAGATGGACATCAGAGGGAGCTCACCCCTCCTCCGTGCTCCTCGCTCTTCCCTCCCCGAGTTCAGCTTTGTTCTTCGGAGCTAAAATGCTTCTCAATGCAAACCATCGCGGTTCATTTCCGAGGTCTGTCTTGTGCACTAGTGTCTCCTCAGGGCTATTTTTAAATGTCCGATTTACCACGGGCTTTATCCTTGATGAGGAAAAATGCTGTTGGCATCTTTGAAGAGCGATATCAGGGAGGAAAAGCAGTTCAAGCTGCATTTTAGAAATGCAGACCGTGACTTTTCTGCTAGGATTTCTGATGATGAGAGGAGCCCGGGCTCCTGGAACGTGTATGGGAAAAGGGAACAGACACAAGCTTTGCAAACTCTCCTGTTTTTGTCTTAATGCAGGAGAATATCCGCTCTGATTATGTTGTAACCAACTTTGAGGGCTCAAAGCGCGTTATAAATTCAAACGGATGGTACCGCAGCTCTGTGACAACCCGTTTAACTCTCCCAGGAAATAGTATGGGGGTTTTTTCTACCTTTATTCAGGAAAATTAAGTGTGTAAAACCAAAAAAAAAATATCGAACATGACAGGTTTAATTTTTTAATGCGCAGAAGCCAGGCAACGTACAGCCGTGGCTTTGGGGAGCTGCGCGGTGGCTCTCCTGGGAGCGCGCACAGGGCTTTGCCTGCTGCTAAAAGCACCGCTGCAGAGGTGACCCGCAGCCCTCCGTGCTGCCGGTGGGATCGGAGGGAATTCACCTCGACTGCAGGTGAGCACTGACTCATAACGAGGACTGAATATCCCAGAGAAAAATCTTTGTGCGCTCAGAGATTCAGCTGCAAACTTCATTTTTAATTCCGTGTTGTGCAGAGATGTCGTATCAATCCGTAGCTTATGCCTTAAGGGGTTTTGTCTCCGTGTTTACATGCAAGACTTTTTTTTTTTTCCCCTCCCTTGCCTTTAGCAATGGGATATGGGGTCTGTCATTTTCCACATATAAATTTAGCTTTTCTCACGAACCCGTTTGGAAAAGGTGGCCCCTGAGAGCCTGAGCCCTTCCCTTCCAAACCACTGGAGACTGCCTGGCCCTGAGCTGTAATTAGCGCTGGGAAAATCATTAGCTGTGTGCTTGACAGCTCGAGTTAAACCACCTGCGGCCGTCTACGGTGACAGTCGTGCTTTGCCTGGCTCCGCTGACTGTGCTGTGTCCTTTGCTGCTCCATGCAGGTGAAGAAGCAGATTTTGGATGAGAAGATCTACTGTCCTCCCGAGGCTTCTGGCCTGCTGGCCTCCTACGCCGTCCAGGCCAAGGTAGGCACGGGGGGCTCTCCAGGGCCCGCCGACGGGGGGGGTTCATGTTGGGTTCACATGGTTCCTGGGACACGTGGCCCTTTGCGATGAGCCTCCTTCCCAAAGAAGAGGCAGGCAGGGAAAGTTGTCAAATCTTGGGAAGCGAGGGGACTACAGTAGCACTATCGCCTTCTCCGCGCCGCTGGCTCCTGGCTGCTTTCAGACGTTGGACAGATTTTTGCTTTCTTGCTCCAGGACTCTTTAGCAAGCGCTGGGCTGATGGGCTGTTCGAGTGTGGCTCAGTGCTGGAGCAGGTCCATTCCCCAAGCTTGTGCTTTTTTGGATCTCCACCCTGCTCTTGCCATCGTAGCCAGAGGCAAAGCAGCTGTGGGACTCACAGCTCTGCGGCTTCCCCCGAATCCTTGTCATCTTGGTAACTGCTGTATTCTGAGCACTACAGCTTGCCACATTAACATGATTGCAGAGTTAAAGGGCTCTTCCTGCCTCCTCCCTGTACCTTGGGTGTTTGGCCTCGCTCGACAGAGGAAGAACTCAATGGCTGTTATGTTCCCCTCGTTCTTTGGCGGGATTCTGCTCCAGAGCCGGTGTTTAGCTGCGGGTTTATTTCGGAGAACGCTGTTTTCCAGTCTGGAGCACGCAGCCTTGCACAGCTTGCAGCAGCCTGCAGCGCAGAGGCTCTGGGGATGGAGGGAGCAGCCCGAGCTTCAGGAGCAGGGATGTTCTTGCAGGATTGGGGGTAATTTGTCCCTGTGCGTGCACAACATGTGCTGCTGCTCAATTCACGAGCCTTCTAGCAAATCTCCGGTTTGTGTGCGTACAGAGAATGTCTTTGGGAAAGGCGTGAGTGGGTCTGATCACAGCGATGTTATCGCTGTGGGCTCATGGTCGGAGGCGGTTCTGGTGCTGGGGATGGGATTTCAGGAGGCGTTCTGGCTTACAGGACCATGGCCGTGCCCTGGACCTGGC